TTCTTTTCCCTTTGGGGCTCCATCCCCTTAACTGTCCCCTCCCATGTTTCCCGTTTTTCACCCTACTGGCTTTCTTTTGGCTCGGGGGTTTCGAGAGGCCGGCCGCTTGCTGCCTCCTCTGACCCCCCCGAGCCTTCGGGACCGTCGAGTACGTCTCCAGCGGTCCTGTGTATTTTTTTTCTCTGCCTCCGGTAGCGGGGTGCTCGCCGGTGAGCGCTCTACCCGCTGACCGGAGCTTCCTCCACGTGGCCGCCGGTCGCGACTAGATCATTCCGCAGACAGCGTGTGTCCGCCGAGTGGAGGAGGGAGCACTACTCACACGCTCCCTCCCCCGCCGGTTTTAGTGCACTAGTCACGGCACATATACCAGGGGGTTCCCCATCACGAATAGACCGCGGTCTGGGAACAACCCTTTCTCCTCCTGCATGTTGAGCAGTTACTGTATATGCAGCCTGTGCCCTAGTTATGGGTATGGTGTCCTCAGTTCAATGTATCATACTGGGTTAGATATGTAGTGGGGGTTTCACTGTGTATATAAGTGCCTGCATTAACCCCTTAACATTGGGTTTTTCAGACCCTATTTGCCTATCTGAGGTACACTCCAATAAGTGACCCTTATATTCCTTACACTCTCAGTAGTGTCTGGCCTTTTTTTCACTGTGCCCCTATGACTGGCCTGTTTTGTCTGTGCCCCTATGACTGGCCTGTTTTGTCTGTGCCCATAAATTTGGCCTATGCTGTCTGTGCCCTCTTTCTGGCCTGCTCTGACAGTACACTTTCTAAGCCGGCACTTACCCGCACCTAAACCCCTTAAGGCCGCTGGACTAGGATATTATACAGGAGATTTTTATACTGGGGTCCACTATAACATATGTGTCCGTATACATTGCTCCCATTATAACTGGGTGACGCGTGTCATTTCTACCCCCAGGGTCACACTACGGTCAGGATGGAAGCTCCTACCCAAGAGAGCCGTTAATTGAGACAGAGACCAAGCATGTGCTCCCAAACACTACTGGAAGGGTGAAGGCCCTGAGCCGAGTTCCCGGAAGGGTAAGGCTCTTGCAAAGAGGCCTAGGCGGACGACTGCCTCATCTCCAATGCGCCCACGATACTTCCCCGAAGAGGAGGAAGAGTTCACCCTTCCCGCACCCCTGTTTGTACTGGATGAATGACGGGCAGATCAATCCCCCTCAGAGGACGAAGGGGGTTGGGTCGATGAAGATCCGGAGGAGTCGGCGTACCGGCAGGACACTGATGAAGATGCCTCGCTACACCTACACTCCTCTCTTGGGGAGGACGTGTTCCTGGACTCATCGGGCGAACCTCTATTTGACCCACGCACCATCCGGCACCCCAGGTCTCCTGAGTTGTCCCTACCCGAACACCTGGCCCAGTTCGTCCATTATTGGGTTCGCAGAACTCTCGATTGGGCAGTTCGGAAGAGATTGAGGGCTGCGTGCCCTAGAACCACCTTGCAGACAAGGTGACGTTTGAGTTCAACAAGAAGGTGTCCACCTTTTTGACCCCTACCGGGCGCGATCCCAAGAACTGGATTGAACGCAATCTCCGCCTGGCACAAGATAAGGTGCTTGATATATTGGGGACGCTGGCACGGATCCATACCATGGCGGACAAAGCTGTTTCGCAGGCCTCCCCCCTGGACGCTACAGCCATAAGAGATTGGGCATTACGCTCCATTTGCCTGCTGGGCAACTCTAACGTAGCATTGTGCACGGAGCAGAGGAAGGCGGTCCTTATGCGCATGGACGCAAACTTATCGGATATTGGATCCAAGGAACTGGGACCGTTGGCCAAAGGGCTACTATTTGGAGAACCCTTCATCAAGGAGCTCCATGTCATGGCATGTCAACCTCTGTCACACTGCATAAGGCCCAATCTTCAATGAGGAGGGTGTCCCGCACTAACACCTCTTGGCAGTGTGGTCGTGCCTCCAGCCGCTTCTGGCCATCGAGCAACCGAGGATCCCGGTCACCATCCTTCTTCCCCAGCTACCACTCTGGATCCTTCAGCTCCCAGAGGTTGTACCGTGGCAGAGGGAACCAGACACGCCGTAGGGGCAGAATGCCTGCAGGTGAGACAAGTTGCACCACATGTTTTCCCCAGTCTTTTACATGCCGGCAGGCTACGTTTTTGTCTCGACAGGTGGCGGGACATTTCTTCGGACGCTTGGATACTCCAAACAGTCCAAGGTTACGTTATAGACTTCCATTCACCCCCAATCCAGGAGGTAATCCCCTCGGCCCCAGTGTCGTCAAGAGCATTGCAAGTCCTGATAGACGCCGAAATACAGGCCCTTTTCTAAAAGTGGGCAGTTCAGTGGGCACCGGACGACGGGGGCTTGTTCAGCTTGATTTTCATAGTCCGGAAAAAGATGGAAGATTTCCGCCCGGAACCTGAACACCTTTGTTTCCTATCAACACTTCAACATTGAGTGCATCTGAAACCAATAACAGCATGCCTGCGCTTCAGGGACATTCGGTGCCTGATATACCTGGACGATTTGCTTCTCTTCTGCGAGGATGCCTCCAGGCTGAAATCTCAGACGCTCTTTGCGGTCTCCTTGTTCGAATCCCTGGGGTTTGTGGTCAACCGAGAGAAGTCGGCCCTCACACCGATGCAGGTAGTTACATTTTTGGGGTTCGAGATAGATGCTACTCCCTCAAGCCAAAATCTCAGCAATTCGAAAAGAGATCAAACGGATCCTGCGTCAGGAGACGATCCCACTCAGGGTCCTGGCACGAGTGGTAGGCCTATTGTCCTCTTCAATCCAAGCCATCTACCCAGGTCCCCTTCACTACAGGGCCATGCAACGCCTGAAGGCACGCTTCCTCCTCATACGATCAACTGATCCCCATCACACAGGAAGTAAAGACCGAACTTCGTTGGTGGCTGTTGCATATGTCAGCCTGGAACAGCAAGGCAATTTTCGGTCTGACCCCGGACTTTGTACTGGAATCGGATGCAAGCCTATGGGGCTGGGGAGCGACCTGCGCGACCGCCTTCACGGGAGGCCCCTGGTCGAGCATGGAAACAGGGTACAATATCAACTGTCTGGAAATGATTGTGGGCTCATTCGCGATACGGAGCATTGCGGGTTATCTGTCGGATTGCTGCATCCTGCTCAGCGGTGCAGTATATCAATCGCCTGGGAGGAGCACGCTCATGGGCACTGACGGAAGTGACAAAGGAGATTTACAACTTCTGCCTTCAGCGCAATATCACTCTCCAGGCAGAATATCTCCGATTGGTTTTCCAGACACTGGAGGGATGCCAGCGATTGGCGTCTACATCAACCAGTCTTTCTGGAAGTGACGCGATGGAGGGGCCCATTCACGGTGGATCTGTTCGCTTCCAGGATGAACTTCCAGATCTCGAATTACTTCAGCTGGCTCCCGAATCTGATTTGCACAGCAGTGGATGCTTTCCTTCAGGACTGGCCGGCGCAGGGAGCCTATGCATTTCCACCATTCAATATGATCTCCAGGATCCTTCTCCAAGTACGACGTCAACAGATATCATTGGTGTTACTGACGCCTCTTTGGCAAGGCCAGGCTTGGTTCCCAGAATTGCTAGAGCTGTCATATCAGGACCCACTCCTTCTCCTGTCGGATTTTCGGGGCAACCATTGCCCCCTCATTCTGGAGGGCCATCTTCACTTGGTGGCTTGGACTCTTTCCGGGGTACCTGTAATGTCGATGAGCTATCGGGATCGGCTAGAAGCCTCCTCGGGGACTCATGGGCCCAGGGAACGAGGAGATGTTATCTGTCCAACTGGAACATATGGTGTCGTTGGTTCATGGAACGGAGTATTGATCCCTTTACAGCACCTGTATCCAGCGTACTGAATTTCCTTTCCTACCTCTTTGACCAAGGGAGGTCATATCGCTCTGTTAACATTGCCAGAACGGCCATTTCAGCGGCTCATGTTCCTCTTCAGGGCACGCCCATTGGACAAGATCCATTGGTTTGTAGACTGTTGCGAGGAATCAGACTGTCACGTCCACTGGCTCCTAAGTATACATCACTCTGGGTTGTGCACCGAGTTTTGGATTTTATTCAGGCGTAGCCACAGAATCAGGACCTTTCTCTACGACAGTTAACGGCCAAGTTCACACTTCTCTTATGCCTGGTATCGTTTCGTCGGGTCTCTGACATCCGGGCTTTTGATATTAACGCATTCAACTTTTCTCCAGATGGGGTGACCTTTGCGATGTCGAGATGTACCAAGTCCGACTCCTCTGCCATTTTCTACCCCTTTTTCGAGAAGCTCCTAAGCTCTGTGTGGTTTCTGCTCTGTCTCGTTATGTGGCGGTTACTACCCCACTTCAAAGTTCCCAATCGAGACAACTGTTGATATCTTACGTATGGCCACATAAATCATTTTCTTCCACTACCCTGGCTCGTTGGATCAGATGGCTTTTGTCGTTGGCCGGCGTGGACTCCTCTTTTGGAGCTCATTCGTAAGGGACGCGCCGGCATCGGGAGCCCTGGTAGCAGGTGCTTCCCTGGCCGATATTCTACGTTCAGCAGACTGGTCTCGAAGACGCATTTCAACAGTTTTTATTTCAGACCTACAGAACATGCAGCCTTTGCCTTACTGGCTGAGCGTTGAAACTGCAAATATGAAGCCTCCTGTCATGTTATAAAATTGTAGATTATGCTAGCTTTAGTGTACATATAATCTTAATTTTATTAATGATAGGAGGCGAATATTTCCCACCCTTTGTTTTCCCGACCCTTGTGTGTTGTATTATCTGGCAGGTTTTCTATTAATAAAGGAATATATCTCTGGTCAGTGTTCGTTGTTGTGTGGTTATTTCCTTCAATACGTCTTCATTTTCTGCCTGGGCCGGGATCTGTTCACTTGGTGGTTTTCACTATAATTTTGCACTGGGTGGCTGCATGCTTTTATACATACCTTTCATTGGCTAATCACAATTTTCGATTCTGTTTTATCTCGTTTCAGTGTAAAGGTCCCAGGATGGACTCACATCCAAGTTTCGATTCAGTTGAAGATTCCTAGGAGAGTCGTCATTTCTATCAGGAGATGGATTATTATTGTTATGTTATGTTGCTTTTTCTTACGACTGTGTTTTGTTATCGCAGATTGAAATAGGAAATGGAATGTTGGGAAGGGAGTTATATGGTCTCCTTACTGTTTTCTGATTGGTTGTTTACTCTCTGGTGTTTTGCTGCTGTGGAGTATATGAAGCCGGTATATGAAGAGAGACTTAAGCAAATATTCGCCTCCTGTCATTCATAAAATTAAGATTATAGGTACACTAAATCTAGCATAATCTACAATTTATGCTTAAAATATTATTGCAATTAACCAAATGGTTCTCGCAGCAAAAAGAACATATGTGCAAATAAAATATAAATTTCCTTCAAAATCCCCTAATAGATAAACCCACATTTGCACTTATCTCCACTTGCTCCACCACATACACTGCAGCAGTTTACGAAGGGAAAGAAACGAGGGGAGGAACTTCTTATACCGCTGCAATGTATGTGGTGGAGCGAATGGAGAACATAAGTGGGATGTTATATCCTCTCTTTATGAAGCTATTTGAACCCAGAGTCATCTGGTAGGGGCTCTGGAACATGTGAGTTTATCCATTAGGGATTTTATATTTGTTTTATTTGTACTGCGTACATATGTTATTTTTTAAATGAGAATCAGTTTGTGTATTGAAAGAATATTTGATGTATACGTCTATCTTGGAGAACTGTCACGTTAAAGATTTTTTGCATATTGTCACTTTAAAAGTTTTAACATTTCACATTGTGACTGTAGCGGAGAGCTGGTCTTTCACAGGTTAACTTCACTAAAGATCCCAGTGAGGCTCAGGAACAAGTAGTAAAATACCATAGAATAATAATCACAGCAAGCAAGGTAATCCATGAATATCCCCATACAGATCCCAATAACTGGACGACACACAACATCAGGAGCAGAACTGAACTTTTAATCACTCAACCTTCTTTTAAAGCTTTCTCCCATGCAAGGGAGGGATTCACATTAATTATACAGTACACCAATCATACATGAGTTGCCACCCAAACATCCCCTCCCCTTAGTATGACTCATAATCCCATTATGCAGGACACAGTTCCCCTGGTTTTCTGAATGTACCCCTAAACATAGGGGTACCACTTTAAATGTTACATCCCCTGGTAGCCCTGATCTGGGTGAGTGACATATTCAAAAATCACCCAGATCGGACCAGGGGTTCGGGAAATTCCTGGAGGTAGTAAAAAGACTGACCGCGCTGAAGGTAACAGCCGAAATGAGTAACATACGTTTTGGCCCTGCGGTCAGTCACAGAAAAAGGGAATAAAATGCACTAATGGCTTGGGTTATGGAGACTGTGGAGGATTTGGATAAACCCCCTTGTTTGTGGGGTTCTTTCTACTGAAAGGTGAGCCGTTTGGTAGTTTATACACAAATTGAGGGCAGTGTGGAGGTCTCACTGGTGTTTGCCTAGCCGAGTGTCCGATTTGGGTTCCAGACACTCGACGGCAAAACACTGTTCGGGAGTGTAAGATGGCCGCCGCCACGTGTTCATCTCCCGAATGGCAGCCACACAGAGGACAAAGCACACACTGCACTGATTGCCAATTACCCGTTTGCAACATTGTTAGGTAGTTTCACTCGCATAATAACTGGAGTGATTTTACCAAACAATCAGGCGAATGCTGCATACAACATACATACGGCAAAAATTAACCAAAAGCATATGAACACACATCATTTTGAGGACAGCCCAATGCCATCCACTACAGTGACACTTTATATTAATAATTTGTGTGCACATTGTATGGAATGACAGTGTAGATTTTTAAAGAGTGCAGTACAGTATGGATTGGTTGATATTAGATGATTTGCACTTTGTATGTTTGGTTTCTTCAATGGTACAATTGAACTTTCTGCTCTGTATTCATCCAAGCGCATTTCGATCTTAGTAAATTATTTTCTAGACTTCAACTGAAATGATTAAGCAAAAAAAAATAAAAAAAGATTTGGGATCAAAAGAATTTCATTAAAATAAAAAGGTTTTGACTGCAAAATTTTGTGAAGCCCCTCAAAATTTTGGAATGTATCAAAATTAAGTTAAATGGCACATATTGTGTCCCTTTAATAAAAAAAAAAAAATATAGAACTGTAAATCAGGGGTCCAAAGTTAATATTAGCTGGTAGTGGCTACTAGCAGCAGGCACAGCAAAGGTAATTCTGAATAAACTGAAACGGCTCAGCTATTGTACTATTTGGTTAATTTGTGGATCTGGGTTTATTTCAAATTAGAATTCAGAAATTTTATTAGATTGGCCCAAATTCGGGTAAATTTCAGTTCGGAAAAAAGTCTTGTAAGTTTCTTGCAATGAGTATTATAACTGTTTATATGACTTACACCGATATTTTTGAGCAGCAATGCGGAGCAACTTTCAGAAGAGAAATTCAAATAATCTGGGCCTTCCGTATGATTATACCTCGATCATGCATTACCCACGGTAGGTTAAGCTCTAAATTAGAGATGTGACGAGCTTTGTTATAATGATCTTTTCCATTTCCTGCATCTTTACAACAATATGTCACCTCTTTCTTTACAGAACTGCTTTCTCCACCATAAATGGTAAAAGTACTATAGTGCCAAAACCTGACCCTAATGTGAATATTGGACAGAGAGATGGGATGAGTCATCTGGATGTAAAGAAAATACATATACAATATAAATGCAGTAAGTTTTTTTTTTTTTTTTTTTAAGGTATACTGTTTCTATTGCTGGCAACAGATCTAATTTCAAGCAAAATTATAATATTGAAAATATGGTAATGTCATGTGCCAAGGTTACTGAAAATAGCTATTGTTTATTAATAAAATTCTGATTCTGACAATGTGACATTTCCACCAGTTTTTCAAACAAAATCCAAATTTTCTGTTTTTAGCTCTCTGTCGGACAAAGTTTACACAATTTACTTCCGGCTCTTTCTCATCTGACGACATCACCTTTGGAAAAGATAAAACCTGTATCTGGTCTTTTCAAACTCCATCGCCCCGTAAGGTTAATATAAAACTAATTTGATAAATTCAATGTTCCCGGTCACAGTTAGCGTTTTGTTCTCCTCTTCGTGGACATTCAGATTATTAGGTGTTCGGATGCAATTTGGGAAAGAGATTTTATGGATTAAATGCCAAATTGCTTTCTAGTTGAAATGTCAAAAAGCATTAAACATTATAAGATGTTTAGTATATAAAAGGGCGGATAATGAATTATGAAAAATCACTTTACCAGAAAATTTCTCTCTGAAGCAAATTTAGAAATGCATATTACAATTCTAGGATATCTCTGTTTTGCATATAATTATAGAAAAGACATGGCATTGAGAAAAGCAATTGATACAAGACAATGATTGATACAGGGAAAGCCTCTTAAATGTAACACTGTAATTCATATCTGTATACTAATTTGTTCATTGGTATTTTCAAATAGTCTGAATACGGCATGAATTCCATCTGTCAGTGACCAAAAGATGCCAATACCAAATTAAAATGTGTTTAAGTGCATGCACAGCGCCCTAACAACTACTGTTTGCTATAATTATGAAGAAAAATAAATTAGTGTCAGATGTGCACTAAATTGGTTGCTATCTAGACGAATATTCCATTGGCTTTAAAAGTTGTTGCACTGGCTTTTATCACTTTTCCTGTTATAAATGGCTATGAAGGCAGACCAACATTTATATATAGATTTGAGCGAACCCGGATTGTAAAGTTCGAGTTCGTAACGAATATTACATTTTTTGGACCCCGGACCCGAACACGGACATATCAGTGTATGTTTGGGTTGGCGTTCAGTGTTCGGCGATTTAATGATGCGTTTTGAAAGGCTGTAGGGCAGCCAACCAACAAGCGTTTCACTCGTGTGCCCATAGAAGCCATCACAGACATACCTACTAATGGCATGGCTCTGATTTGGCCAGTGCAGCATGTGACCCAGCCTCTATATAGGCTGGTTACTTAGTATTAATAAATTATGCCCCTACTCTCTATACAGCGAGTAGGGGCATGTCTATTAAACAGTGAGCAGCCTGTTAAAAAATAATAATAAAAAAATAATTCCCCCCTCCTGAGCCCCCACCCGTGACGCGTGAGTGGGGGCTTTTAAACTAAAGGGGGGGGTGAGGTCCCTAACGATCAATAAGGGGGGGCTATTGTCCTCTCCCCTGGCCCCCACCCATGAGAAATGGGTGGAGGCCCTAAATATCAATAAGGGACCTATTGTCCTCCCCCCCTGGCACCCACCCCTGAGCGGTGGGTGGGGGCCCTAAATATCAAAAAGGGGGGGACCAATTGTCCGCAACCTGGCTCCCACACCTGAGCGGCCGGTGGGGGCCCTAAATACCTATAAGGGGGGTACCTATTGTCCTCCCCCCTGTCCCCCACCCATGAGCGGTGGGTGGGGGCCATAAATAAAAATTGGGGGGGACCTAATGTCCAACCCCCGGCCCCCACCCCTGAGCGGTGGGTGGGGACCTAATGTCCTCCCCCCTGGCCCTCACCCCTGAGCGATGGGTGGGGGCCATAATTAAAAATTGGGGGGGACCTAATGTCCTCCCCCCTGTCCCCCAACCCTAGTTGGTGGCTGTCACTGTAAAAAATAAATAAAATAAATCCCCCCTCCTGAGCCCCCACCCACGACGAGCGAGTGGGAGCTTTTAAACTAAAGAGGGAACCAACTGTCCCCCCCCTGGCCCACACCCCTGAGCGGTGGTGAGGGCCCTAACTGTCAACAAGGGGGGCACCCTATTGTCCTCCCCCTGGCCCCCACCCCTGGGCGGTGGGTGGGGGCCCTAAATATCAATAAGGAGGGGACCTATTGTCCTCCTCCCTGGCCCCCACCCCTGAGCGGTTTGTGGGGGCCATAAAAAAAATTGGGGGGGACCTAATGTCCTCCCCCCTGGCCCTCACCCCTGAGTGGTGGTGAGGGCCCTAACTGTCAATAAGGGGGGGACTATTTTCCTCTCCCCTGGCCCCCACCCCTGAGTGGTGGGTGGGGGCCCTAAATATCAATAAGGGGGCGACCTATTGTCCTCCCCCCTGGCCCCCACCCACCCCTGGGTGGGGGCCATAAAAAAAATTGGGGGGGGACCTAATATCCTCCTCCCTGGCCCTCACCCCTAAGCAGTGGGTGGGGGCCATACATAAAAATTGGGGATGGGAACCTAATGTCCTCCCCCCTGGCCCCCACCCCTGAGCAGTGGGTAGGGGCCCTAAATAATAATTTAACACCCTCAAGTGACTAGGGGTCCCCAAACCCCTAGTCACCCCCCTCCCCCTAAAAAAATAACCCCTACCTACCCCCCTCATCCTAAAAATAAAGAGGGGGCCCTTATCTAAATACCTGTGTAAAAAAAAAAAAAAAAAAATAGACGTACCATTTGATATCTTCTTTTTTCAGCCCCAAAAAAGGCCAAATAAAAATCCATTCTAACTTTAAAAAAAAATAAAAAAATAAAAAAATTTCACCCATGGAGGGCTCCGCACAGACTGAGCTCTGCAGGGCGGGGCAAGGCCTACAAAGCCTTGCCCTGCCCTGCATTTAGGCTTAGAGCACTCTGATTGGTGTGTTCAAGCCATCCACTCAGAGTGCTCTGACAGGTAAATGAAGAGACTGACAGGTAAGTCTCTACATTTACCTGTCACAGCACTCTGATTGGTTGGCTTGAAATCCACCAATCAGAGTGCTGTGTGTCATTTTACACAGCGTGGGAAAGTTCTTTGGAATTTTCCCATGCTGTGTAATTTGACTCATAACACTCTGGTTACTTAAAGGGACACTATAGTCACCTGAACAACTTTAGCTTAATGAAGCAGGTTTGGTGTATAGAACATGGTCCTGCAGCCTCACTGCTCAATTCTCTGCCATTTAGGAGTTAAATCCCTTTGTTTATGAACCCTAGTCACACCTCCCTGCATGTGACTTGCACAGTCTTCCATAAACACTTCCTGTAAAGAGAGCCCTATTTAGGCTTTCTTTATTGCAAGTTCTGTTTAATTAAGATTTTCTTATCCCCTGCTATGTTAATAGCTTGCTAGACCCTGCAAGAGCCTCCTGTATGTGATTAAAGTTCAATTTAGAGATTGAGATACAATTATTTAAGGTAAATTATATCTGTTTGAAAGTGAAACCAGTTTTTTTTTCATGCAGGCTCTGTCAATCATAGCCAGGGGAGGTGTGGCTAGGGCTGCATAAACAGAAACAAAGTGATTTAACTCCTAAATGACAGTGAATTGAGCAGTAAAATTACAGGGGAATGATCTATACACTAAACTGCTGTATTTAGCTAAAGTAATTTAGGTGACTATAGTGTTCCTTTAATCCACCAATCAGAGTGTTATGAGTCAAATTACATTCCGTGGGAAAATTCCAAAGAACTTTCCCATGCTGTGTAAAATGACACAGAGCATTCTGATTGATTAGCTTGAAATTCAGCCAATCAGAGTGCTCTGTGTCAATTTACACAGCGTGGGAAAGTTTTGGGGAATTTTCCCACCCTGTGTAATTTTACTCATAACTCTGATTGGTTACTTTCAATCCACCAATCAGAGTGTTGTTATGAGTCAAATTACACAGCATGACACGGAGCACTCTGATTGGTGGATTTTAAGCCAACCAATCAGAGTGCTGTGACAGGTAAATGTAGAGACTTACCTGTCAGTCTCTTCATTTATGTGTCAGCACTCTGATTGGATTTCTTAAACCCACCAATCAGAGTGTTCTGAGCCTAATTGCAGGGCAGGGCCAGGCGTTATAAGCCTTCCGCAGCCCTGCAGAGCTCAGTCTGCGCGGAGCCCTCCATGGGTGAAAATGAATTTATTTTTTTTGCGCTCAATTTTTTTTTTTTTTAAAGTGCATCGGTTATTATGGATTTTTATTTGCCCTTTTTTGGGGCTGAAAAAAGAAGAGTTTAGAAGAATGAAGACAAATGGTAAGTCTATTTTTTTTTTTACAGGTATTTAGATAAGGGTCCCCCCTCATTATTTTTAGGATGAGGGGGAAGGAAGGGGTTATTTTTTGGGGGGAGGGATCCCTAGTCACTAGTGGTTTGGGGATCCCTAGTCACCAGGGGGGGTTACATTTTTATTTAGGGTCCCCACCCGTCGCTCATGGGTTCGGGCCGGGGGGAGGACAGTAGGTCCCTCCCCCCTTATTGTTATTTAGGGCCCCCACCCGCCGTGCAGGGTTGGGGGCCAGGGAGGAGGACAGTAGGTCCCCCCCTCCACTCATCGCACAGGGTACTTGACAGGGCCCCCACTCATCGAACAGGGTACTTGACACGCCCCTACTCGTGGTATAGCGTAATCTTTACTTAGTATTTGTAAGTTTGGCTGAAAGACCAATTTAGGTCTTTCAGCCTTTTGGTAGATAGCTCCCTAATACCATTGGAATTAGGGAGTTATCTACTAAGCGGCTGCTTATTTTATGTTATTTTAACCTATCCACATTTGTTTGCAGGGCACTTGTGCTACTCTTACCCCCATGTTACTTCCTTTTGCAACCCTCTAGCCCTTTTCAGGACTTTTTTAGAGCCATTTTTGTGCCCAAAAGTTCAGGTCCTCATTGACTTCAATGGGATTCGGGGTCAAGTTCGATCCCGAACCCGGAGATTTTTCTGAAGTTCCGCCGACCCGAACATCCAGGTGTCCGCTCAACTCTACTTATATATTCTTTTTAAATTAAAGTATGTATTAGTTCCTATGGATAGCTTTCAAATAGATGTAATACCTAATGCCCGGAAATATGCAACAGAGAAAAACAGAGTATGGATTATCTCTTTACATTAAATAGAAAATCTACTTATGTCATCTTTCATATTAATGTATTTTCATGTTCATTTGTACCATATACAAAGAGTTGTCATTAATGGTGAATTGTCAGGCTGGACAAAAGTTGTAAGTGGGGTCCCTCAGGGTTCTGTTTTGGGACCGCTTCTATTTAACATGTTTATAAATGATCTTGAACTAGGCATTGAAAGCCATGTTTTAGTGTTTGCAGATGACACAAAACTTTGTAAAGTGATACATTGTGAGCAGGCAGGATATTACTTTGCTGCTGAGGGATTTAGATAGATTGGGGGACTGGGCACTAAAATAGCAGATGAAATTTAATGTAGAGAAATGCAAAGTTATGCACTTTGGGGTCAAGAATGCACAAGCAACTTACACCCTAAATGGTAGTGAGTTAGGGATAACCACACATGATAAAGGATTTGGTAATTGTTATATACAACAAATTACACAGCAATATGCAATGTCAATCTGCAGTAAGGCCAGTAAGGTTTTGTCATGTATAAATAGGGACCTAAATTCTCGTGATGAAAATAATATTTTGCATCTTTATAAATCGCTGGTAAGACCACACCTTGAATATGCTTTTCAGTTTTGGGCACCTGTTCTAGAGAAGGATATCATGGCACTTGAAAAAGTGCAGAGACAAGCTACAAAATTGGAAAAAGGAATGGAGCATTTTATTAACGAAGAAAGATTAAAACATTTAAAATCTTTAGTTTAGAAAAGTGGTGCCTCAGAGGGGATCTGATAACATTATACAAATATATTCGGGGCCAGTAAAAAACCTTTATCTGGAAATTTATTCATAAACAGGGCTATACATAAGACACAAGGTCACACATTTAGGCTGGAAGAAAGGAGATTTAATCTAAGGCAAAGAAAAAGGGTTTTTTACAGTAAGAACTATAAGGATGTGGAATTCTCTGCCTGTATAAGGTTGTTTTTGTCAGAGTCCATACAGATGTTTAAACAGCAATTGGATACATACTTCCAAAAACATAACATACAGGGAGATAATTTTTAATTAGTGGGGTAATAACTGCTTGATTCAAGGAGATATCTGACTGTCATTTTGGGGTCAAGAAGGATTTTTTTTCCTAGTTTGTTGCAAATTTGGAAGCACTTCAGACTGGGTTTTTTGCCTTCTTTTGGATCAACCGCAAAAGAATATGTAAGGAAGGCTGAACTTGATGGACGCAAGTCTCTTTTCAGCTTTGTAACTATGTAATATATATCGATGTAATTGAGCTATTCTCATTGTATATTCTGTACTTAGGTTTATCTGGAAATCAGTAAAATCAATATCCCACAATCATCTGGGTGCAGTGACTCCTACTTGAAAATTTACAATGGTGACAGTCGTGAATCAAAAGTTCTTCAGGACAAGGCCTGTGGGTCTACACTAATCCCTCCTTTTGTTTCTACTCAAAATAACCTGCTGATGGAGTTTGTGAGCAATCGGGAAGCTTCTCAAAGCAAATTTAAAGTTCACTATAAGGCAGGTAAATCCTATTTTAGAATAGTTTGACTTCGGGTCTGCCAGATGCCGCTCAATCATTATACAATGCTTTTTTATGGGGAAGTCCCAAGGTGAGCTTGGCCATCACCCCGCATGAGCATTAAGTCCCCCCCCTGCCGGCTGATATCAGCCCCGGAATCAGGTAAGTGACAGAAGTTTTTTTTTTTTTATCTTGTTCTGCATTGGAGGGCAGGGGTATTGGATAAAATATTAAAAAAAAATCAATATACAAAAAAACTAAGTATTAAATAATATTTTGTACAATATTAAAATATTTTAAATGTTAATTCAAAAATATTAAATCATTTGAAAAGCTTATCCAAAAATATTAAATTGAGGCCAAAGTTGTAAATGAGCCCATAGAGTATCTCATGGAGGGTAAATCACGTCCAGGCTGGTCTAATTAGATGGTGACCATTTGTATATTTATAAAGTGTTCCTTGATCAGTGAAGCACCCATCCACATATTGATTGACACAATATAAAATTATCATTTGTATTTGTAATACATGTATTCAATTCTATTTTTTACCTGCAGTTTCTAATGGAAACACTTTATTTGAAGATAATGGGTCTGTGACATCACCATCATATCCTTCATTGTATCCTGAAAATGAAGATGTTATTCATACTATAATAGCACCATCCGGTAAAAAGGTGAGGCAATGTTAAGGGTTCTAAACTGGACCTATCAATTTTAAAGGGATATGGTAGGCACTATAACCATTTTATCTCATTGAATGATTGAATTGATTATTTCTGATGACTTAAAGGTAGGCAGACAATGTAATAGAGCAGCAGGAAATGCTAGCAGAATGCTTGGTTGTATAGGGAGAGATATTAGCAGTAGAATGAGGGAAGTGCTCATACAATTGTACAGAACACTGGTGAGACCTCACTTGGAGTATTGTACGCAGTACTGGAAACCGTATCTCTAGAAGGATATTTAAACTAGTTCATGGTTAATAAACTAGTTCATGGATTGCATGATAAAACTTACAAGGAAAGGTTAAAGGATCTTAACATGTATAGCTTGGAGGAAAGACGAGACGGGGGGATATGATAGAAACATTTAAATAAATAAAGGGAATCAACACAGTAAAGTAGGAGACTATATTTCAAAGAAGAAAAACTACCACAACAAGAGGACATAGTCTTAAATTAGGGGCAAAGGTTTAAAAATAATATCAGGAAGTATTATTTTACTGAGAGGGTAGTGGATGCATAGCCTTCCAGTTGAAGTGGTAGAGGTTAACACAGTAAAGGAGTTTAAGCATGCCTGGGATATGCATACGGCAATCCTAACTATAAGAGGCCAGGGACTAATGAAAATATTTTTTAAAATTGGGCAGACTAGATGGGCCGAATGGTTCTTATTTGACGTCACATTCTATGTTTCTATGTTTCTAATAGTGAGTCAGGATTCCAGCAATAGCCAGTTTAGCTCTTTTAACATGTGACAATGGTAGGTTTGCGATGCAGGTGCATACACTACATCCCCATAATCAATGGCCGGCATTAGCATTTGTTGCACTATCAGTTTCCTTACTGTAGGACTCAGGCAGGATTTGTTTCTGTACAGGGCACCCAGTTTTAGAAAAGAAGAGGTTTTTTTCAATGTGAAGGCCAAAGGATAGATTGGGGTCTAGCAACATACCTATATATTTGAAAGAACAGACTGCAGTCAGTGTGCTATTTGAATTTCATCTGATACATAGTTGTTGATTTTGTAGTTTAAGTAATTTAGGTACAGTTCCAAACATCATTGTAACCATTTTGTCAGTTTTTAGGAAGAGTTTGTTAACAGCTATCCATTTTTCTACCTCTGTGAACTTCTGCGGTAGATTGGGTTTACTAGTGTAGATTAGTGTCATCTGCATACACATGTACAGTTGAGGATTTGCAGACGTTAGGCAGATCATTTATAAATAATGTGATATCAGAAATGGTCACATATTGCAATCGGTCTGATACATATGATCGAAACCAGGTTAGTGGACGGTCACCAATACCTACATTTTTAAGTTTTTGCGATATTATGCCATAGTCTGCTATGTCAAAGGCTCTGGCAAAATTTAAGGAAAAATCTCCAGTAAAGTCTCCTTGTTCCATGCAAATTTGCATGTCATTGCAAACTTTTAATAAGGAAGTCGAAGTTGAGTGATTTGATAAAAGCCTGATTGCTCAGGGGTCAGATAGGTTGATTGTTGATAACATTCACATAATTGCGTGTGGACACATTTTTCCAAGATTTTTGGCAATACTCGGAGCATTGATATTGGACTATAGTTAGATACCAAAGTATTGTCACCACTTCTATGGTTAAGTACTACTTTTGCAGTCTTACAAAATGTGGGTATGTATTCAGACATCAGGGATTAATTGATTCATGTGCATGGGTGGTAAACGGCATGTGCATTAGAGCTTCCTCATAGGAAAGCATTGAATCATTGCTTTCCTATGGGAAATGTGAAGATGTTAGATGTCTTCACACTTCGTAATTTTACAGAGTTTAACTCTTTAGAGTCCAATAAGCACCTCTAGTGGCTGTCTTCTCTGAAACATCAATGTTTTGCATTACAGAATTAAGGGGATAGCAGCACTGCACCCAGACCAATTCAACCCAATTTCAATCCCATATTCTATTATTTATAAACAAAATAGTAAAAAAACATAAGACACATAGATCATTTAAAGAACTATAGGCTGGTAGAATACATTTAGATTATCTGTACAAAACTTACTTTCGGAGGTGAAAGATATAGTGAAGAAGCCAGCTCTGATCCTGAATTCCATACGTTAGATCTATAGGCAGATAGCGGTGTTGCCACAGTAGATTAAAAATATGAGTTTCTACTCTAGACTGAGTATATTGGAATAATGTAAGTGACATTTTGATCTTGTATTTTATAGATTATACAATTTTGGGGTGATATTTGATAGAATAAATGATAGAAATGATTAAATAAAACATATACATTGCAGTGGATAAAAATTTAAAAAACAGACAACATAAATAACTGTCTTGGGTACTCCATAAATACAGTGAAAGATTCTGACACCCAGATTAAGTGAGATTATTGCTGCTTTCGATGGAATGACACACATGCCCATAGAAATTTACAGAAAAAAAACTAAAACCACTGTGCATTAAAACCTACAAAACAGTCCACATAAGTAATTACCATGTGCATTCCATAAACAGAGTGACAGATTATGACACTAAGATTAAGCAAGATGATTGCTGCATTCCACCGAATGACAACCAAATGGCCAAAGATATAACTCATAAAAACTGAAACAGAAGTGGATTCAAAGACTGTCATGGAGGCAGATAGTGGCACTCCTTTCACCATAACCACAACTGCACGATGTAGTATTTATGGTTCTTGAAGTTTTCTTTTAGTGTCTAAAAACATTCAGTGGTGTCATTCACCTTTGTCATTCCATATAAAGCATTATTTATTTGGCCTAATCTGCATATTAGGGCAACATCTGCATAGTTCGGGACTATCCATGATAATTGTGTTAACTGTTTTGTAGTTGTTAATTCTCGGTAGTAGTATTCTTTTTTGCATTAATATCTATTGCTATTCAGTTCTGTCATTCACCTTTCTCATTCCATTTAATACCACAATAAACTATCTTAATTTGATATATTTATTGTGGTGGACCACCAGAGTATCATCGCCACAGATTCCCTTTCCCTAGTGTGAAGTAGCTCTATCCGACTGTTGAAGTGATTATAGCTGGTATACCTTCCCTCCCCCAATACATTAGTTGAGACTGAATGTTGGGATTAGATCTGGTTTATTAGGCCAAACAGACAGACATAATTTATACACAAACCCTCAGCATTGGGTCTCCATACAAAACATAAACTCCTCCCCAGCGCCTTTATGTCTGGGATATAATTGAGTCTAAAACTTTGTAATTCAATATCTCCCAGGTACAGGAATACATACATAAGTTATACACAAAACACCCCAAAAGTATCCCAGATATTAACAGGAACCCCACAAGAGTCATATCCCAGAAAAAGCCTTGATCTGAGCGCCTAAGCTGACCAAATTGCACTCAGAACGGTTTCGGTAGAATAGAATCGCCACTGGGGTAAAGTTTTGACTGCCCGGCCATGAGGTGCAAGCCCAAAACTGTTCCATGGAAATGTTTGCAACGGCCAGTCTCAGTTCAGGGGTTCCTGTGCGAATATCATATAACAGATACCTTTTTTTCAGGAAGCAAATGTTCCCCTATTCAGTAGTTCATGTCTCCCAAACATCGCTAGAATAGCTGGTTGGGAAGTAGGACGGGCAGCGGTACAATCTTTACCGAGGTTCATGCGAGTATATAGCTGAAAAGAGTTCCAGACGCTCAATGTACTGCTGCCTGCATTCAGGAGACAAGATGGCCATGCTTTTGTCGACCATGTGTGTTCGGTTACACGAAATGGCGGCCACCTAGGGAAAGCACTTATTAATTACTTCCCTTGCGGTTTCACAGATATGTTAATGGATTTGTCAGGGTTCTTATGAGGTACTAGGGTGGTCCTCCCGAATTAATAGCTCCAGAACGGATGAAAAGTTTGAAGTTTTTAAACAAGTGATTGGGTTATTCCGTCACATTTATTAAGCATATTTATTAAATAAATAACATATAAATATAGATTTTTTTTTTGCTAATTCTCCTTTTTCCTCTCTTCTGGTCATTTCTCACTTGATCTATGAGTAAATTTATGACTATACACTAACCACTGTTTTTCCCATCAGTCATCTCAGATGAAGCTCTGAATCACAAATCAAACTAGCATGCTCATCGTTTGTGCGAGTCAATTAGTCATACGTCCAAATGGCAAAGAGTTACAGAATTTGGATGACCCTATGATTAACCTAAGAAAAAACATGGAAATATATACTGGCGCTAGATATGCAATAAATATAATAGATAATAATGTTATATACCAATTATATATAATAGCTGCTGTGACACCCAGTGAAGGCTTTCCTCTTACACCAATCACATAAACAAAAACACAAAAAAAGGTGTAGCGCTATATATATATATATAAAAAAGAGTTTTTACAGACCCAAGGGGTATTCCCACAAGAGCTGGTATATTCTGTAAGGAATGTTCCTAGACCATAAATTAGAACTCCAATAGTATAATACTGATATATATTAAAGTCCTTGGATTAACTCACATTTTCCTGAGCTATGAACTGGTTCATAGCTCAGGAAAATGTGAGTTAATCCATATAATATATATATATATATATATATATAGACTTTAATACATATCAGTATTATACTATCGGAGTTCTAATTTATGTTCTAGGTACATTCCTGACAGACTATACCAGCTCTTGTGGGAATACCCCTTTGGTCTGTAAAAACTACGATTGACCTAACTTCGGGTGAAAATGAATGCACAAGTCAAGTTGCTATTGGATGGCATATTATCATTATTAAACATAGTGATGGTGTTGAAACTAAGCAGTAATACTTAGTGTTCACCTATAGTCTAGTGGTTAAAGGATCACTATAAGGAACACTCTACTACACTGACCTATAGTGGTTATGGTGACAGAAAGGCACAGGCATCTCCCATCAGTACATTATTTTTGAATGGTTTGACTTCTTACCTGCTAAGCTTGGTTGAAATCTATCAACAGCCATTCTCTGCTAATGAACTAGCCTAGAACTGCAGAGTTTTGCTCAGGAGAAATACTGGAAGCTCCCAAGCAGGAGATTTCAGCTCTGTGGAATGTAGTGAAGGCAGTGTTCCAGTTCTAATACAGTTTTACCACTTCTAATAGGGGAGTGCCAGGGAACTCCTGGTATAATTTTATTTTTATTTTTGCATGGTTTCTGCTAAATCAGATAAAAACAAACATTGCTTAAGATATCACATGCAGTGACTATATTATTTTATATTTTTATTACTATTTTAGTACATTATTTTATGCAACACATAATAAAGTAAACCTGCATCCCCAGCATGTTCACCATACAGAGACTTAGTGAGTGATGCAAATGTAATGTGTCCAATATTTAAAGCTGGTATTTACTATATATATTAGGAAAATATACATTTGATAACTACATTACACTTTTAGAAAAATGAAGAATAACCCAAATAAACATGCCCACATTACCAAACTGAATCATAGCTTGTTTCATTCCACCCCATGATTTATTGGCCAGCAGCTTACTACGTGTATTTTATTTCACAATTAATGGAAGCCTATGCTCAAACACAAACTGTCACCCCCAAAGTAGAGAAAAACGCTCTCTAATCTGCCAGCCTCTCTAGGAAACATACAGGTTGGCAGGCAGTAAGCAGCACATTGAGAGCCATGAGCATAAGTCATTTCATGAATAAAAATGAAAAAAACTAGGGGTGAATGCCTAAAGATAGGGAAGCAATCAGAGGGGATGATAGAGAAGGAGGCAGCTGGTATTGTCTGTGTAGTAGAAGATGTACCACGTCAGGCTATCTACCCAGCAGGAATATTCTCTACTAAATGTTGGGCAGTTTCTACTGTAAACTTGGAGCAGAGTTTGCTCCTGGATCATGAATTTTCTTGATCCTATTTTAACGCAAAGATGAATTTACTGGCACAGCTGGTTTTAAATAACTGCTAAAATCTAACCCTGCAATGCTGTCCTCATTTTTAGCACCAGATACTACTTTGTATTTAAATGTCCGAGCAATACTGAAAAATGGTGAAGTACAGTGTGAGTTTATATACTTAGTTATAGGGACACTATGGTCACCAGAACAACTACAGCTTAATGTAGTTGATCTGGTCAATATAATCAGTCCCTGCAGGCATTTTCATGTAAAAATGAAAAAGGCAGTGTTTTCAGAGAAAAGGCAGTGTTTACATTGCCCCCTAGGGGCATCCCCATTTGCCACTCCTCAGATGGTCCCTGGAGGTGCTTCCTGGGCAGTGCTGCACAGTGTGCAGAACTGCTGTTTATTGTCCCCATGCTCTGCATGGGAATGCATTGATTCAATGCATCTCTATGAGGAGGAGTGTCTAATTGGCCAAGACAGTGTTTGGCCCCAGATCCTTCCCGCCTCCTTTCTCTATGGAATAGAATTGGATTGGCTGAGATCATGAATTCTGATAATGATGCTATCTGGGGCGGGCCCAGCACCAGTAGGAAATAAGGCAAGTGTTATTACCATTTAAGGGGGCTAAGGGAGGGCAAGCCACCTAACTGGTGGTTTTAACACCATAGGGTAAGTAATACACATTTGTGTTCCCGAATTAGATTTCCTAAATGCAAGCAGAATGTGTTATCATAGATCTGGCTATAGCGTTAATGACATTTACAGTTAAATCACTAAACTTGCTTACCACATCTGATACATTATCATAACAGTAATCTAGTTTAGGTCCCCTTTCCTCCTGTTAGATTTAAGCATAATGGACCTGCGACATATGTACATGTTTTCTTGAGGGGTTGCGTGACATATTCACAATCTGCACATACACTGAACTAAAGATTAAACTTGTGTGAGATCAGTGAAAGACAAAAAATATAATTTTACACTGCTTCCGAATCTAACCTGTGCTTTTATGAAGTTATAATGACACACACAGTCCATCTGTACGTAGGTTGGAAGGTAAGGAGATCATGTTGAGTTTGTCACAAATCAAAGGCAACTCTAGAAATATTCTCTTGTAAATGTTTGCCTTTATCTTTTAGGTGTCTCTGAAATTCATTAGGTTTCAAATAGAATATTGCAAATTTACTTGTTCCTGCGTCTGTGACTACTTGAAGATATCTGATGGAACCTCCTTAAATGGGGCACTTCTGGGCATATTCTGTGGGTTTGCTGCACCTTCTGCTATGGTATCGACACAAAATGTAGTTGTAATACATTTTCACAGTGATGGCTTAAAGAGTGCAGGTGGATTCCATCTACAATATAATTTTGGTAAGGAACAGATATGAAATAGCAACAAATTTTATAACATGACAGGAGGCTTCATATTTTGCATTAAACTCTCTTTACTAAACTCCAGCAGCACAAATTTAACAATAAAGTTTAATGAAGAAAACATATTGCAACATCGTATAAAAGGCCCCTCCCCTTTAGCTCTCCCTCTTTCTTTGCTGCTCTTTTACATGATTGGGGGCGTGTTTAGCCTAGCCTACCCCTAAAAGGTACGTGTGTGTTGAGCTCTGCTGTATAGAGCTAACCTGACTTCATGATGCCGGCACGCATGAGCCATCAAAAGGGGCGGACTCATAGCGGCCGGCGTCTCTGAGGCTGAATGGAGCCTCTCTCTGCGTCAGCAGTTCGGCGCACCGACAAGGTAATTGAGAGAGCGCTGACAGGCATAAGGCTATTCTAGACGTAAGTTAAGGCCAGGGACTAATTAAAGTATTTTGAAAATTTGGCAGACTAGATGGGCCGAATGGTTCTTATCTGCCGTCACATTCTATGTTTCAAAATTCTAGATTATGCTAACGCAGTGTACCTTTAATCTTAATTGTATTAAGGACAGGAGGCGAATATTTTCCCACCCTTCTTTCTCCCCTCCCAGTTTATATGATTCTTTGTTTTTCACTTCAATAAAGATTTGAATACATTGTAGGTGTGTTTATTTGGTTATTAGGTGATTTCAGTTACTATCACACATATTGAGATTTGTGATTATTTTAGATAAAATTTGAATATATATTAATGTATATACGACAAACAGTTAATTTCCAAATCCCTTTCACATCTTTTTGTTTCATTTCAGTTTGATTCACCTTCATGGATCAATGCATGGGATCGTTTTCGCACTCAACAAAAAACTCTCCATTCAAGATTCAGATCATTTACAGTCTGAATCTTCATTGTTGTCATTATTGTTGTTGTTTATTGTATTTTAAGGATGTATTTCTTGTTATATCGCATCAAAGAAAGCGGGAGAGCTAAAGAAGAGGGACCTTTTGTACCCTGTTGCAATATGTTTTTTTTTAAATTAAACTTTATTGTTAAATCTGTGCTTCTGGAGTTCAGTAAAGAGAGTTTAATGCAACATATTCGCCTCCTTTACTTAAAGCGACACTGTCATGCCAAACTTACCTTTCTTTAATCGCTTTCTCTTCTCTCCCTCTCTCAGGATCTATTCTTC